GAGGAGTTGAAAACCGCAAACTTTAAATTGAAAAACATTGAGCAAAAATACGAACAATTAGATGTTAACTATAAAAAAGTTCTAAAGCGCGAGCAGGACTTAACAGAGGAAAACCTTCGGCTTCAAGAGGAGAATTTCCAATTACGCGAAAAATGCAAACAATATGAAAAAGAAAATAAGCAAAAACATATAGGAGAGGTCTCTACAAGTCAAGCAGGATCATCGGCTGCAATGGATTGCGGCAACGTCAACCGTCGACAAAACGCTGCCACAAGCGCTAGCATGCAGAACTCACTAACAAAAGCTCAACTTTTTAATGGTGTTAAAAAATATATATCGTCTTCGATGGTTGCCTTGCTGCGTATGGAGATGTTTGGTAGCGCAGATCGAGATTGGAAGCCGGATGAAAGACGTGTAGCAATGGACCTTCTGCAACTTGGCGACCAAATTTATGGGTACATTAGCGATGAGTGGCGTTTCCGGTTACCAGCATTAGAAGAAGTACGAAACTGGCTTGCTGATGCCACAAATTCTATTGACGACGAAGAAGATCTTTAATTATTGTTAAGCATAAGGCTTTTGTTCTATATTTAAATAAAAAATAATTATTTAAAAGAACACACACAAGGCCGATCGTTTGTAAAACTATTTAAGATGTTTCTAATTACTCTTCAGTAGTTATTTCTACCGGCTGATCCAAGCTGCAAATAATGGATGAATTCTGAAAAATAGTAAATAAGATTGAACAGTTTGACATGGTAGCGATGATATGTACATATCGCTACCTTAATATAGAAAGGCCGTAACACATTTTGTTTCAAAATTAAGCTCTATACAAAGATCGGTAGATTTCTCACTAAAGACTTAAACAAATTTGAAATCAACTAATACATAAGAAAATTAGTTTATGCTTTTTTTTATAACCAGTAGTGAAGAAAATCGCAACTGAAGAACCTTATCAAGTTTTGTAGCTACTATATCTTTATATTAAGTATTTATACTATAGAGTCTATGTATTAAGGTAACGATATGTAACCTTTAACTTAAGCACATTTATTAGAATTGAGATAAATTAATTTCTAATCGTAAAACACTATAAATTTATCACATGATCTCTGTATTAACTGTTAAATTGTAAGACAGAGTCTTAGTACCATGTATGTATATTTATGTGTTTTGAAATTGAAAATAAGTACTTGATAAGCTGTTACATACCGTAGTTTCGGCAACGCATATGTTCTGTGTAGATGCGTCACACAGCCAACCCGTCGGGCATGTGCCATTTACATCAGTCGGTCGTGTGGCACCAAAACAAAATGCGAATGTGGTGCGACTGGTGCATGCGAATACTTGATTTGCATTGCACAATCCACAACTAGAAGTATCGCCACAACTAGCTGCTGCTCCATTACTCTGGAAGCAAATATTTGGTTGATCCGAACAGACAAGACCGTCAGCACAGTTGTATATTTGATTAGTATAGGGTAATGTACCTAGGAATGTATTCAATAAAATCTTTAATGCACACTTGGGGACATACGAATTTCGTTCACATTTATCTACCCCCATAACACAAATAAAATGATGTTTCATTAATGCATGCTGCACTATTACTCTGGCAAACGTTGCATCCTTGGCTGGTTACACGGAGAATGATAATGAAAATTGCGAAAATCGCTATCTGATGAAAAGATTTAGTTAATTTAAATATGTAATAAATTAAATCATATTCCTTACCAATATTTGGTAAATTTTTAACATCTTCTGTGAATTATATCTAACGGCGCAATACCTCGCACAAATAGTTCCTAGCACGACTAATACCAAACTTTTAATGTTACACAGCTTTTATGAAATTTTCGCGAATTTAATTTTTTTGTTGGCTTTTATTTGAAATTGGATATTCATTCGGCCTTGCTTGCGATTTACAAACCCCTTAGTAAATCGCAGGGTATACAGAATAACGCAAAACTAGTTTACTTGAAGTGTATTCTTGAAAGTAATTGCTGTTTTATGGCCTTAGCTCGCGCTTCATCGCCAGTAAACTAACAACTTTGTAGGACGTAGAGCGAAATGTAGCGTCCACTTTACTTCCACTAAACCTTTGTTAACCACTTCAGTGAGTCTTGGCAGTTACTGCCACTCTTTCCGTTTTTTGTCTTTAGCATTGCAATCCACTTGCGCGCTATTTATGTTAAAAATGAAATATATATATAATATGTATCGAAATTCTCCTCTAGTTTGCCACACTTTTTACTATGGGGTATAATACAGTGCCGGTATCTGGTTTTATCTGCTAATATTTTTGTCTATGCTTTAAATCTTATGCTATCTTAGCTAATGTTAAACAATAATATAAAAAAAATTGCAACACTTTCCATAAGTGGTTTTTTGTTGTTTTCAACATTGTTGAAATACTTTCAGTCTTGTGGCGTATGTACGTGGGGTGTTGTTAATATTTGAAATTCGAGCAAAAGTGATCTTATCTTCTAATGTATTCTTAATTTTTTCCTTTGCTTTTAAGGTAAGTAAACGAAATAGATTAACGTCATAAACCATCAGATAAAACCCCTGTGAGAGAACAGTCCTAGCAGCGTTGAATCTGTCAAAGGCGTTTCACACCGTCTCAGGGAGTCTCGATTGTCTATTATGCTGACGAGTGCTCGATAATGGCGTCTGGGAATGGAATTGATGACTTGTGCTCGAAAGTAAACGACTACCTCTCCGAACTTTCTGGCTTCTTCTCTACAAGGAGGCTAACCCTCTCCCCTACAAAATCCTCGGCAAACTCAACAACAACCACCTGGACGAAGGAGGTCAGACTGCAGATGGGTATTCACGTCGTAATAGAGTACAGAGTTCGCAACAAGGTCCTCAAGGTCCTTGAAGTTGAAAGAAACGTTGCTGGGAACATAAAAGGCTTGCCGTTTCTAAACTATGCAGCGCAGTGGTTGAAGCTACAGACCTGAAGCTACACGACGCTCCGAACCGCCACGTAATGCCTTCGGATGCCGCAAGAACACCATCTAAATGACGAGGCCTCCCCGTCAAGGAGCGCAATACTATGCTATGCAAGCAGTGCCTAGTTCGGTGCCACAGACGAGCACCCGAACAGACATTTGCTTGCTGCAGAGCCCTCGCCTAGACACGTCAGAAGGCATCTATACGAACTGACGGACGAGGTCCGGAAATTCATAAAACAACCACTGAACCTGACAGAGTACCGACAGGCCACAAGCGACATTCACAGAGATTCGGTCTCGACTTACACCAACATCCGAGCTGTGAATGCCGTTTTAGGGACACAGCTACATGACGTGGACGAGATAGAACTTCGTCTGTCTCGGGAGACTCGCACGACCATAGCTCAACCCCGCTCTGGACACTGCAGCTAAACTCTTACCGGAATAGCATAAATCTAGATGTGGCCAACGAATGTCCGGCATGCAGAGAGTCAACCCATGACTCGACACCCCCGACATGCCCCTAAACCCTACTCAACTAACTCCCCTCTCCTTCTTGTCCAACCCAGTCGGACTGGCATACTTGGGCCTACCGTTGGAGCTTGACGACAACGGCTAAGTGACAGGCTGATCTTGGCAGTTGTAAGCCGCTACAACAAAAAACAACAACTATACCTGCAAGGGAGCATCATTCGCTGGGCAAACAATTTATGCTCGGTTTCTACCGGAAACAGCTAAACAGTCCGTTGATCCGCAATTGATCTAATCAAAATTGTGCCTTGACAGACGGCAGTAATGCGGATTTACGAGCCGCGAGGTCGTGGGTTCGAATCCCACGGCCAGTAGAATGTTAATTTTTTTTTGTTAATTATTCATTTATAACTTCTATATTTTTTAAAGGAGTTTTACTTGGTTATTTTTGACTTTTTTATTTTATAATTTTTTTAATTTTTTTTTTATCTAAAGATTTAAATTAACTAATAACAAAATAAAAAATGTGAAATAAAGTAAAACAAACGAAAATAAAATGGAGTAAAATTAAATATATAAATCAAATAAAACTAAAAAAATTAAAGTAACAATGAAAACAAGTAAGAAAGTCTAAGTTCGGGCGTAGCCGAACATTAAATACCCGGCGCAAGTACTAAATATATGTTATAAAGTTTCGTTAAGATGTCTCAATTTTTACTCGAGTTATCGTGTGCACAAACGGACGCACGGACGGACGGACGGACGGACGGACAGGCAGTCACCGCTTAATCGATTTCTCTTTTCATTCTGACCATTTATGTATACATTTGTCTATATCTATCTCGATTCGTTTTGCCTGTTACAAACAACCGTTATGTGAACAAAGTTATAATACCCTTGTGAACAAGTGCCCTCGGGTATAACAATATGTTTTTTTTTGGCAATCGCTCCAACCGAGGATCGAACCTGGGACCTTGTAGTACGCAAGTCTCGCCACTCGGCAACCGCGGATGAAGGAGCGGCTGCTTTGTTTGCGTATTTGTTTGCTCAGGGAGCGTAGAAAACAAAGAAATTGCAAATGTAGCACGAACATATGTATCCATGGTTGTCGGTAATGCTGTCACCGTATTAACTGAAATAAGTTCTTATTCGATTTGAATTGGAGTCCTATCTGAATTAGTATGGTGACTGCATTACCGATGAAAAGGTATATTTCCATGCAAGATTTGCATATTCTCTGCATTCTACACTCTCTGAGCATAGAAAATTCCCTTGATCCGAGTTAAGTTTGGGAATTAACTCTAGGGGCTGGTTTCTCCAACTCAACTTAACTTAGTTTAGCAAATTTTTTAGACTTAGTAAAGAATAAGCTTTGTAAAAAGTGGGCTAATTTTTGACTTAAGTCCATAAAATGGCTAAACTAAGTTAAGTTGAGTTGGAGAAACCAGCCCTAGGACTTAATCCGGATCATTAAACCAAAACGCACCCACGTATATACGTATATATGTACATATTCATTACTTATGTATGCATGGATCGCATTGAAGTTGTCTTTATGGATACGAATAATTTAGAGACGTGCCAATCTGTGGTTTTGGTTAATTTTCTTTTAGCACTAATTTCGTCGCATAGAATATCAGCGGGTTAAGTAATTTTTTTATAATATGTGTGTCATGCATTACAAACAAAAATAAGCCATAAAGAGGAAGAGGAGAGTTTGCATCAACTTTCGAAAGTTTTTTTATTTTTATTTTAAGTAACTCACTTTTGCAACTGTGGCTTTATTTAAAAGAAATTAGTAGGTATGCACATTAGGGTGTTTCTTAAATGTATGAAGCAAATTTTTACATCAGACATCAGAAGGGTTGATCCCTTACGTCGATGCTACTATAGTGGAAGATATCACATATAAATATTGGCCCCGATTGGAGTCGGTTAAGGCTTGTCGCCCAGGGGCCAAATTCAGATTACCCTACACTGAGGGAAATAATGCATATAGTAAAATAAAATTTAAAGCAAAATTGCAATTTAAAGCAAAATTGGTTACTTTTAATCACGTATATCGTACGAACCAATTAAAAAGTCTCAATATAAAATACGGCAAATGAAAGCCAATGAAATTCTCCATAAACCGTGTATACATCACTTTCCGACTGGGCTTATAGTTTCTGACAAATTAATTAATCATCCCAGCTTTTTTTATTTTTTTATGAAAAAATTAAAAATAAAATCAAACTTTAACAGAAGAAAAATTTAAAAAATAACAGGTTCTGTGCCAAATTTTTGTATTTGTAATAAAGCCTGTTCTGTTACAAAAAAAAAAAAAATCAAGTTGCTGATGAAGAAAATTGGCGAAATAATGAGTGGTCAAATAGAAATGCGCAAGATTATTTGTATGAAAATTGAGCACAAAGGAATGTTACTCATACGCCGCGTACACCTAACTAGCACGCTTTTCTGCTTGCAAATATCTCGAAAACGTATCCATAGAAAAAAAAAATTAGCTCGAATTTCGGAATCACCGAGCAATTCTAAATTAAAATTTGTGATCCAGTGTAATCAAGATTCGTGTTACCCAGACATGGTGAAAACGGCCTTTTTCTCTCAAATGTTTGCTTTCCAGAGAGTGAAGAATCAAGCATGAAAGACCTATCGTTTTAAAATATTAAAAATATAGCATAGCGTATGGGTAAATAAAACAAAATTATAAAAATTTCAATAAAATAATATTTGCTAAATTTTTTTGTGGGCCAATTTCACGATTTCCGATCTATAAATATTCGCTTATACATATGTATGTACTGATTACTAATAAATATTAATTCGGACACGCTGTCGCCTGAATACATTTCTTCTGAGCTGCGCTGTAATAGAGACCACTTCTGCAATTCATCTCTAATGCAAGGAAGCTTGAGCCGCTACGTTCACAGTAAATGTATCTATATAAATATTATAATTATAATTAAAAGTTACATAAAAATGGTTCATTACTTACGTATTACAATTTGCCGGATTTGCTACTTGATAATAATAACTAGTTTCAGTCGAATTATTGCATGCGCCTAATAGATACGCTTGTGATTGCGTTGTCGTTGTTGTTGGAGTTGTAGACTGGGTCGTTGGAGTTATCTCTTCGGTGGAAGGGCATGTTATTTGTGCTTCAAGCTAAAATACACATACATACATACATATGAAATTAATTCACAAATAAAACCTCCATTATGGCATTACACAGGTCAACAATTTTAGAAAAAGTTTTTGGTGCCGAGATATCGTTAATGGTTTGTTTTAAGATAAATTGCTGATAAAAATAATGTTTATATATTTTTTTCAACGCGTAGTCGAGATATCGAGAGAAAAATGTCGACCAGAAGAATATCTAATATCTATAGAAAACATACATATGTACATATCGTTACATTAATTCACAAAGGCCCTAACCAACACTTTTTTCAAAACTGCGTTTTTCAAATTCAAATTTTTAGGCTGGTCCCGTTTTTGAGCAAAATTTTAAGATTTTCGATGGCTCGGAAAATTCGTATTGGGGCGTTTTCGGTGCGGATCCGAATTTGGCATTATTTTCGCGATCCGACAAATAGTACAACTTTCATACAAAAAACATGCAAAAATTACCGAAAACGTCCAAAAACTTTTATTTTTGTATGGAAATGGTAAACTTTTCTTAGTTCAAATTCAAATCAATTTTTGAATCTTCTTCATTATTGTCTTGTTAATTCCAATAAATATCTCCTAATAGAGCAACAAGCTTCTTGAAACTATACCAATTTTCCAGGATTGCTGTTTTCAGGTGAAATCTCTCACCCGGATAAAAATACCTTCCACTACTGTAGGTATAGGCGAATGGACTGACATTAGTATTCTGGGGTTAAAAAGATTTTTTTTGTTGTAAATGAGAAATTTCTCGATTTAACACGACTTTCGATTTATGCCCATTTCTTGAAGCTAATACCTTTTACAAAAAATATAAGACATAAATGAAAAAAATCCACACAAAAAAGTCATCATATGTTTACCATGGAAATGGAAGAAAACGCGAGCATACCTTTCCTTGATGTCCGTATACACAAAAACAACAACAATATTGTTCTAAACTGGTACTCGAAACCAACGTCGTCTGGACGCCTGATTAATTATCTCTCCTCCCAACCAAGAAAATATAAAATCAACACCGCGAAAAATCTTATACACAAAATACTGACGATAAGCGACCAAAAATTTCACGAAGCCAACATAGAGAAAATACACAGCATTTTGAAAAGCAACAATTATCCCAATCACCTGATACGCGAACTAATAAAACAAGAAACAATGCGAATAGGAAATCAGCAAAATAAAACGCCGACCACAGCAACAGCAAATACACCAAAGAAGTACTACAGCGTCACTTACATCCCCAAGCTAAGCGAAAACTTTGATCGCAGCACATTAAAGGAACAAAACATAACTCTCGCCTACAAAACAAATAACACGTTAGCTAGAATCTACACAAGAACAAAAAGCCCACTAGACAAACAGCAACAAAACAACGTTGTTTATGAAATAAAATGTAAGGGCAAAGAGAACGAAAACTGTGGTAAAGTGTACATAGGGACAACAAAACGCGCATTAGGTGTTCGCATAGCCGAACATCAAACAGATATAAGGAAACAAAAACACAGCACAGCCCTATCACAGCACATATTAAACAGCGGCCACACAGCTGATTTCACTAACACTAGGATTATTGACAAGGGAAAGAGGGAAATGACGAGATACACTTTGGAAAGCTTAAGAATATTAGAAACAAGTAAGAAAGGCTAAGTTCGGGCGGAGCCGAACATTAAATACCCGGCGCAAGTATTAAATATATGTTTTTTCACCCTTCCGAAACCTTCCGCTAGATGGTAAGCCGAGTTGTAACAATTTTGAGTAAATTAGCGTCCTTCAATTTCGAAATATTGAAGTTTCAAGCATTTCTTAAATTTACCGTTATATGAAAATCGGCCGTTATATTAGTCCGATTTCAATAATTTTCAACGTTTTGCTTTTATGTGGCAAGCACAATAACCATACCGAGTTTGGTACAAATTGGTAGAACGGTTACCGGTATACTTATATGTGATCATAAGTGGGCGGTGCCACTCCCATTTTCCAAAATTTTACCATAAACGTATTTCTTGGTAAAGAATTGTTGCAAGCATCAATTTTGAAAAAATTAGCTTCAATATTTAATGATTTATCGATAATTTGGTATTTCTCTAAATTACCGTTATATGGGATGTGGGCGTGGTTATTGTCCGATTTTAAAAAGTTTCGGCGGTTTTTTATGCTGTACCAAGGCCAACAACTGTGCCAAGTTTGGAAGAAATTGGTGTAGCGGTTACCAAGATATACACATGTAACCATAAGTGGGCGTGGCTACGCCTATTTTCCAAAAATTTATAATATTCTTATTTTTCGTCTAAAACTTATTATAAATATCAATTTTGAGTGAATAATCTCCAGTAGTTACTAAAATATTGCAGTTTTCGTATTTCTGAAAATTACCGTTATATGGGAAGTAGGCGTGGTTATTGAGCGATTTTAAAAATTTTCGGCCATTTGGTATGTTATGCGAAGGCCAACAACTGTGCCAAGTTTGGAAGAAATTGGTGCAGCGGTTACCAAGATATACACATGTAACTATAAGTGGGCGTGGCTACGCCCATTTTCCAAAAATTTATAATATTCTTATTTTTCGTCTAAAAATTATTGTAAATATCAATTTTGAGTGAATAATCTCCAGTAGTTACTAAAATATCGCAGTTTTCGTATTTCTGGAAATTACCGTTATATGGGAAGTGGGCGTGATTAAAGTCCGATTTCGCCCATTTTCAATACCAACCTACCTTGGATTAAGGGAAACCTACATACCAAATTTCGTTGAGATATCTCAATTTTTGCTCGAGTTATCGTGTACACGGACAGACGGACAGACGGACAGACGGAC